TTGCGTTTGTAATTTGTTATTTTGTTTTCAGAATTGTGATTTGCTTTGCACTTCTCTGTCACCGTACTTCCATCTTTTTTTGACGCTCTAACTCTAGCACTCTCTACTCTAACTCTATATATAAAAAACTAACACTAACTTTTCTAATCTTTTTGTATCCTATCTATTTGTTTTCTTTTTATTTATTATACAATTATCAAAATCAAAAAGGCATCTAACACTAGTTTGCTCTATTCTTTTTCTATTCTATCTGTTTTTCTGACTAAATGTAAATGTTAATGTAATTTATTTATTATGTGAATGTGACAATAAACTGAATCATTCACAAATCTTATTTATTTTAATAAGGTGAATGTGAGCTTAAATTCAATGAGTCACAAAAGCTTAATAGTGTTTATAAATTTAGGGTTTTTTTTTACTTATTTAATAATTACTTGAATTTGACAATAAATTGAAACATTCACAAAATGTTTGTTTGTTTATTTATTTTAAAATACATTGAAACAGAATTCTACAATGATGTGACTGGAATATTCACAAATAAGACCACTTTAAGACTTCTAGAATGAGCAAAACTGTCAGTCAGATGCTCACAGAAACAATAAACGAGCAATATAATGTCTGTATTGTATAATTGTTGTGTAATTTATAGTATAACTTTTAGTGTGGGATCATTTTGCTTATAAGTATCACAGATACAGAAATAATACACTTAAGGAAAGTCAACAGGAGGATCATCTGATTCCTCCCACCCTTTTCATTGCTTCAAACTGTCTTCAGTTTTTCAAGAACTGTCATGTTTTATGGTCAGAGTAGATCTACAAAGCAACAGTGAAGCCTAGATTGTTAACCTTTCTTTTTTAACCTATAGCAAACAAAAACAGAGGCAGTTATGCCCCTGAGAAGGCACATACACGCAAATATGCTTCTGTCAGTTGCATTGCCTTGAATATTTAAGCGCTAAATGCTTATTCTCAACCAGTCAACAGTAACAAAACAACATCCACCTGTCTCTTCACCAGCTTCATAACAAGCCTGACCCGCATCTCTGTTCCCTGTGGAATGGATGTAATTGCATCTGCTGTCTTTTACCCTAGAAACCATTTGAGAGTGGCAAACTATCACGAATCCGTCTGTTTATGACCACAAAACAGCACTAATCTGTTGCTAATGACAACGACCTTCCGCCCCTGTGGGAACCAGTTTATTATGACCTACAGCATGTAGTTAATGACAGCTTTCTCCTCATTCAAATAAATTATCTGATCCTCCTATGAGCTGCTCTCTCCATACTGTACATGCCTTACCCAGAATGCAGCGGTGGCCAACAGTGGAGAACGTAGCCTGTTACTGCCTTGAATAATTGAAATGGTCATATTTACAAGATAAGACCAGTTGGAAGAACATTTCTATTTTTTTAATGATTTTAAAAAAATTGTATGATTTTTTTTAAATGTGTGTAGATTTTAAATAATAATAATAATAATAATACTTTAAAGGGATATTCCACTTCAAAATGAAAATTCTTTCATAATTTACTCACCCTCATGCCATTCTAAACCTATTTTGAAGAATGTTGGTAACCAAACACTTTTGGTTCCTATTGACTTCAATTTTATTTTGGATACAACGGAAGCGCCATCACAAATTCGGACCATTGGCAAGAAGGATTTTTTATGTTATTACTTTATTATTATTATTTAAAATTGTGAATGTACAATTTATTTGTATGATTTTTTATTTTTCATTTTGTGTATTTTGTTTATTTATTTTGTGTTTAAGTAATTTAAGTGGTCTGCCCAAAGTCCACCCAAAAATGCTGTCATAATTTATTATGTTGTTCCAAACCTGTATGTGGAACATGACATGATATTTTTAAGAATGTTGGTAACCAAACAATTTTGGTTCCCATTGACTTTCATTGCATTTTTGTCCATAGTAGTAGTCAATGGGAACCAAAACTGTTTGGGAAAACAACATAACAACATTTGTCAAGATATTTTCTTTTATGTTCTGTAGAAGAAAGGAAATCATACAGGTTTGGAATGACATGAGGGTGAATAAATGTTGACAAAATTTCAATTTTTTGGATAACTGTCCCTTTAAATCAGGGCTGCCCAAACTCAGTCCTGGAGGGCCGGTGTCCTGCAGAGTTTAGCTCCAGCTTGCCTCAACACATCTGCCGGGAAGTTTCTAGTATGCCTAGTAAGACCTTGATTAGCTGGTTCATGTGTGTTTGGTTAGGGTTGGAGCTAAACTCTGCAGGACACCGGCCCTCCAGGACCAAGTTTGGGCACCCCTGCTTTAAATCAAATGAAGAAGAAAAAACACTTTCTATTATGTTAATTGTTAATGTCAAAAAAAAAAAGAAAAATCCATCCAATATGAAACATTCAGTATTTTACCACAAATTCATCTCAAACATTCAAATTAGACAAAAGCAGACATAGTCTGGTTGTATGACATGCTCTTATCCTCAAAAACTACTACGACTATCAAAATTAAATTTTGTACAACTTTTTTTTTTACACTGTTTTGGGTCTCCACTGTCCAGTGTAAAATGTTGTTCATGAAGAACAATCAGTTGTAGACAGTAAAGACCACCCACCATCATAGTCATTAGGACACTGAAGACGAAGTCTCGGCATTACATCGGCGTAATGACATTGGTACACA